CAGTGCGATTGGCACAGGACAGAGCGGAGTTTAGGGCTGTTGTACATAGGGTCGCTATGAGTCGCAGGCGACTCGACGGCGCATAACAACAACAACAACAGCAGCGATCTGTTTGTACTTGTTTTTGTGATAGAGAGAGGTGATGGGAGCATTGAATCAGAATGTACTTGATAGAGGGACTTGAATGCCCAAGAGAAGGAAGAAGGTCCTAGAGAGTCAACACAGGGGTCTGTAAAGCGGATCTTTGCTACCACAAAAAAGCAGACGGCCGGTGACAATAGAAGTGATATGTCATGGTCTTAGTTCTGGGATTTCCATTACTAAGGTTGCAACCCCACCTTAAAATTGGGAGCCTTGGAGAAGTCATGGTGCCTTCAAAAGATTCCTCCAGAGGCACGAATGGAAAAGCACCCTCTTCCCTCTTCTCTCCTCCTTTCAGATCTTCAGCCGGGAATCCTCTTGTCTGAGAGATGGGCAGACTGTCCAAGGACACTAGGGGGCTGCACTGTAACCCCAAAGCCATGCCTCTCTTGGAACCAGTGGCTCCAAGACAGAAAGATGAACAATTAATTGCCTCCTGTAAAACTTACAAGCTCACAAACCTGAGGTAGGGGCAGTTGTGAGTTGGTTCCAACTTGATGGCAATACGTTTTGAGTTTTTAAGAGACACTGAGAAAGGCATCTTGGAGGGACACCTTTGCACCCTCTCGCTACATAGAACAGGAAAAAGTCAGAGGATCCTTAAGCAGCAGAGACAGGAATGAGGCCCTCCAACCAGGAGACACAGAAATAAAGGCCAGTCAAGGGACCTTAAGTTATGGAAGAAACCAGTAGCATGGCGAAGGATGCAACAAGAACGTGGACAGGGAGAGACTCAGCTGAGCACTGAATGTGAACGAGGTTGGGCTCATATGCAGGTATCAAGATGCTAAGTCGAGGAAAAGTTACTCATACAAGCTGTTACCTTCTTTATTCCTAGGCTTTTTCACCAAACCTTCCATCTGGACACACCCGAGTTCCCTTGTGAATTTGCAGAGGAGCGTGACAGTGTGCTGTGCTTCAGAAGTCGTATTTGAGAAGTTTCTTTTACACAAGGAGGGAGACGGTCAGTATTCCCAGCAGGCTGTGGAAAAGCTTCCTGCTGTGAAAGCTTGGGCTGACTTCTCCGTGGGACCTGTGACATCCGCCCACGTGGGGACTTACAGGTGCTACGGTTCCCACAATCACTCCCCTTACACGTGGTCACACCCCAGTGACCCCCTGGAGCTTGTGCTCACAGGTGAGGGTGTTCTGCTCAGTCCCTGGTCTTGGCGGGGTGAGAGTGCCTGCGGGTGGTCAGGTAATGGTGATATGGTCACTATCACACCACCTGACAAGAAGAGTTGTCAATGACGTTAGGTGCTGCCAGGTGACTGGGACTCACGGCGCTCCTGTGGACCTCATCAGAATCTTGATCTTTCCTGCACCGGCCTCATGATCTTTGCTGTGCTCCCACCCACTGTTACAGTCACTCTGTCCATCTAGCTCATTGGGGGGCCTTTCTCTCTTTCTCTGACACCCCATCTTTCCCAGCATGATGTCTTTTCCCAAGGGCTGGCCTCACTTGATAACATGCCCCAAATATGTGAGATCAAATATCATCCTTATTACCTCTAACTATCACTTAGGTAGGACAGTAATACGATGGGCACACTAAAAGAAAAGATAGAAAGACTGCCCCTTTAAAGAAAGTGAAAGAAAAACATTGCTTTGGAAACAATTCCATCTCATGTTGACCTTGGAGGGTACAGAAGTACTGCCTCATAGTGTTTCCAAGACTAACCTTTTCAGAAACAGACTTCCACATTTTCCTTCTGGAGGTAGGCTGGTGAGTTCAAAACATTGACTTTTTTGGTTACCAGGTGAGAGCTTAAGCAAGGGTTCCTAGAGTTCTGAATTCAGGAGATGGTTCTAGAGGAAGTATCTCCCTCTCTCCCCATGGTGGAGGAGAGGCCCTCTTTTCTTTTTAACTTCTTTCCCCCACTTCCTTGACAATCAGGCGGCAGGCATATTCTTTCTCCATTTGTGGTCTTGTTTCCTATTCTGCTGTTTTATAACATGAAAGAGATTTATTTAAGCCACACCCTACACCATCACAAGGGAGCTCATCGGAAGAAGGACGGACAATTTTTCGTGCAGTTTACTGCCTCTGAAAATGCCTTGGAAGGTCAGCTATCAGAGTTTCTTTGTACTCTGTGGCACAGAATCACAAAACAACTATGCCATCTTATTAACATAATAATGAAAACTCATTCTTAATTGGGGTTATAACCAGCAGTATATGAGTTAAAATTTACAGCAGACAGTTGAGAAGAACATAATTTAATCTTCAGTTAGAACTGATCTTTAGAAACTAGTGAGAGTCATGAAAGGTAAAATTCTCTTTAGAAGTTAGTGGGAGTCATGAAAGTTAAACTTTAAAACAGACATTTGAGGACGACATAACTTAATCCTCAGTTAGAAATTATCTTTAGAAAGAAATGAGTCCTGATCTCTTGGCTCTAGGTGGGCAAGTCCAAGGTTATTGCCATATTGTTTTTTATTGTTATTTTTGTGTGTGTTTACTGTCAAATCAGATCTGACTGGTACAGGAGGAGATTGTCTCTCCTTCCCCGGCAGAGCATCTGGTGGATTCGAACCGTGCGCCTCTGGGATTGCACTGCAGCTTCCTGCCACTAGGCCACCAGAGCTCCCCCCTGCCATATATTTTGAGGTTGTCATTGGGGTTATTTAAGGTCCTTTACTCAAGAGAACCCTATGCATCTTATGGTTTCTAGGGAGTAATAAAGTACAGAGATACAGGAGAGAATCAGTTCTAAAGTACCAGATACTGAACACTTAGAACAACCAACCACACAGGACCACAAAGGCAGCATTGGCCCTATGATAAAACTCAGAGACTGGATGGAGGATCGGTGGAAATAAGAACCACAGAGAGATAATGGGAAGAATGGTGAAATGTAGTGTGGATTGGAATCCATTTCCTATAACAAAATATATATGATGGTTGAATGGAATACCAATCAGGTCTACAAACGTTAACTCACTTCATAATTAAAAATTTTTAAAGGTGCATACTGACACAAAGACATGCAGACAAGGAGTCTTGTTGTCGACCTTGGTGGAGGATAAAGAAAGAGACAGGAACACTAAGGATGGAGAAAAAAGAGAGCGTAAAGGCAAGTGGTGAACAGTTCGAAGCCTGAAGCTCTAAACCTAGCTTCTCTGTAACTTTGAACCTAGCTTCCCCGTAACTTTATTGAAAATCGCCAGGGAACAAATCGTGAAGAGAATTCTATGCAAATGAAGCTAGGTTTTTTTCTGCTGACCACCTTACACTTTTATCAGAAAGGAAGGGTTACTAAATATAATCTAAGACTTGAAAAGGCACCCTTAGGTCTGCCTTGGTGCCTGACTCTTGGGATCTGTCTCAGGAGGAAGTCCAGCTTGTGTTCATTTGTGCTTCCCTTAATTCCTGGTTAAGTATTTAGTTTAATATTTGGCTTCCCACAGAGTCTGGCTCATAGAGGTAAGAAATGCGATGTCAAGAAGACAGGTGGAGTGTCCTCTCCAAAGTGAGGGTTGAGAATCCTTTGTTCCTGTCCTCAGGTGGTATGAGAAGCCTTGTCCTCTAAACTAAGGTCCCTTTTTTTACCAGGCGTGCACAAGAAGCCTTCTCTCAGAGCACATGCAGGTCATGTGGTTTCATCAGGGGAGGACATGACCTTGTGCTGTCACTCAGAGAGCTCATTTGACATGTACCATCTCTCCAGAGAAGGGGATGCCCTTGGATCCTGGCTCCCGGCAGTGCAGAGGCACAAGGGCACATGCCAGGGTGTTTTCCCTCTGGGTCCTGTGACCTCAGCCCATGGTGGAATCTACAGATGCTACGGATCTTTTAATTACTCTCGCTATGAGTGGTCAGTATCAAGTGACCCTCTGAACCTTTCTGTCACAGGTAAGGAGCCATGTAACTGTCCCATGTCTGTGACTCATGCTAACTTACAAAGCTATATCTAAAAGGCATCCCACTGTTGATATAATTGGGCTTAGGGATTGTGAAGAGTGAGAAGTATCAAGAAATAGAGAGAGCAAAGGAGCGGCTGGGTATGAGAAAGGATGCCACAATGTAGGAATAGAGAGAGGGACTTTCTAAAGTCCCATCCCCAAACTGTTGATAAAAGTTTGAGTTCTAGGTGTTCAGGTAAAAGAGGAAAGGAGTCATTGCAGATCACCCTAAACCAGACAAAAACAGACTCATTGCAATTGAGGCTTTCTGACTCAAAGTGACCCTTTTAGACTGGACAGAGTGGTCCCCCAGGGTTTCCTGCATTGTGATCTTCCCACAACCATACTCCCATATCTTTCGCCCATGAGGACACTGCCTTCTAGTTACGAGTAGAGCTCTTCTCTACTGCTCCTCATTGAAGATTGGAAGGAGGAAGGGCTGGCCTTGGGTAGGGAGATGAGGTCAGTTCTGACCCATTACCCTTTTTCCAGAATCCCCAGTTGAACTTGCACCCTCAGGTAGTGATTTTTCTCAAGTGGGAAGCCTGCCGATTTTTGTTCCTAGGGGAATACAATGCCTCTTAGTTACGTGTATCTTTCTCTGTCACTATCTAACACTCCCTCTGTAGACATTGACATCTGTATAAGTTTCTTGGTGCTGTAACAGGTTATCACAAAATTAGTATCTTATACTTCTGACCGTTAGAATCCAGAATATAGATATATGGAGTATAGAATATAGATATACTCTGTATTCTGATATGGACGTCACTGAGCTGAAATAGAGAGTCAGTAGGACCACACTTCTTTCTGAAGGTTCTAGAGAAGAATGCTCCCTTTCGTTCTTAAAGCACCACCACTCTTGGGCTTATGATCTCATCTACCATATTCAAAGGCAACGGCCAGCCAGCATTCTAACCTTTCTTCATTATTCCTTTCCCCCTCTGATTATGGTTATCAAAGGTTCTTGACTTTTAAGAATCTGTGATTACGATTAGAACATTCCCCAAACCCAGAAAATCTAGGAAAACATCCCCATCTCATGAGAGATAACCTGATAACCTGAGTTATCTCTGAAAAGTGTCTTTAGCCAGATAAGGTAACATATTTATAGGTTCTAATTTGGTGGCCTAGTGGCACGAAACTGTGCTGCAATCAGAAGGCATGCCGTTCGAGGCCACCAGCTGCTCCGAGGGAGAAGGATGGGCAATCTCTTTCTGTGTGATTAACTGCCTCTGAAAACCCACTGGACGGTCAGCAATGGGTCAGTTCCCACTCTCTGGCAAACAACAACAAAAACAAGATTAGAAGATAGATAGATAGATAGATAGATAGATAGATAGATAGATAGATAGATTATATAGATAGAGACAATAGAGATAGATAGATAGACTATATAGATAGATGAGATAGAGATAGAGATTAGATACAGATAGAGATAGATGATATAGATAGAGATGATACAGATAATACAGATATAGATGATATAGATATAGACATAGACATAGACATAGATATAGATATATA